TTTCCCTTTTGGTTGATCAACAATCTACCATGTCTTTTTTTTTCTCTAGTGCATCCATCTCTTCTCTCATAGTATCTCTCCATTATCTTGTTGATAAGGCCTCAGAAGTTGTGTTGAGACTCGCAAGAAATTTTTTATGTGATGGTGAGAACCGATCAAGAGACACATAATGAGATAATGGATATAGTGGTCGGTTTTTGCATTCTTTAGTACCTTTTCTAACAACAATAGGCAAATAAAGATCATTTGTGTTTGGTTCAGTAGCCGGTGTGTGTGTGAAGGAGAATTAGAACTTACCATGTGTTTATTAGCAGAGCCCGGGTCAGAATCTTGGACTTAAATTGGATATGAAACAATCTTTCTCCTTGAGTACACTTGTGGAAATCTGTAAGAGTCATAAATGGGTATTGACGTAGATTTGGGCATACTCTGGGACTGCCATGGATTGGACATGTACGGATTCAGTAGAGTGGACATGAACTTTTTCAGAACTTTGATTTTAGACATACACGGATTTAGTATTTTGGGAATTTTGAGAAGAATTTTGAGAACTGGACGATGGTAAAGTGGAATGGAGGAAGTGGACGATGGTAAAGTGGAATGGAGGAAGTGGACGATGGTAAAAGTGGAATGGAGGAAGTGGACGGTGGTGGAAGGTCAAGAAAATCATAGTCTGTATCTTCCATTGGCAAAGTCTTCCCCTAACGATAAGACTGTGAAAAATATGGTTTGCTTCAGCAAAAGTGACATGCAGAACGGTAAAACTTCTTTGAAGGAGGATGATAGCATTTATACCCTTTTTGGGTAGACGAATACCCAATGAAGACACACTTAACTGCTCGAGGGTCCAGTTGTCCTCTATTCTGACTGCGAACGTGAACAAATGATGAGCATTTAAAAACTCTAGGTATAAGACCATTTGAAGTCCTGAAGTGAGGATAAAATTTTGAAAGTACTTCCATGGGTGTTTTGAAATCCAACACTCTTGAGGGTAATCTATTAATCATGTATGTAGCTGGAAGAACAGTCTCTCCCCAATATGTTTTAGGAACGTTCCCATGGAATAACAATGCCTGAGTAGAATTTAGTAAGTGACCATTCTTCCTTTCGGCAACCTCGTATTGTTGGGGTGTGCTTACACAAGATGACTCATGAATGATTCCTCCTTTTGAAAGTAGGGAGATAAGACTTGATTAAAATAGTCTTGTGCATTGTCAGAACGAAAATTTTTTATTTTACCCAGTTGGTTTTGAATCATTGAATGAAAATTGGAAATGACATTACTCACATCATATTTGTGTTTGAGTAGGAATATCCATGTGACACGAGTACAATCTTCAACTAGAGAAACAAACCAACGTGACCCTATAATTTTTGGAATTGTAGAAGGTCCCCAAATATCACTGTGAATCAAATCAAATGGATGAGAACTTCTTTTATTACTAGTAGGAAAAGATACACGACTATGTTTGGCAAACTTACAAACATCACAATGAAAGTCTGTAATATCTAATCCTTTAAACAAAGACGGAAACATAATGTTTAAGACTCTAAAACATGGATGACCAAGACGAAAATGATGAAGCCAAATGACATCTTTATTCAAGGAACTAAGTAGTGACGAGGACAATTCATTTTTGACTCTCTTCAAAGTGCTTGGTGCTTCAATATAGTAAAGCCCGTTCTTCTCCTTAGCAAGTCCAATCTTCCTGGAAAACACAGTAAGAAGGATAGAAATTCAAATAACACTTTAGATCTTTTGTAATCTTCTGAATTGAAACAAGATTGGCAGATAATTTTGGGACACGAAGTACATCTTTGAGGACAAAAGATGGTGTCAAATGTATGTCTCCTAGACCTGCTACTATGGCAAGGGAACTATTTGCTACAATAATTTTCCTACTGCTTGTACACGGTTTATAGGTACTAAAATGCTGTGAGGAAAAAGTCACGTGATCGGTGCTTACGAATCGATTATTCAAGGGTCCTCAAAACTCTTCTCAAAGATGTAATCCAAAAGAAAATGGAGACTTACTTGAGAACACCAATGAGCATGCACCAGAAGGTTTTTCAAGTGATCCAATCAAATCTCAGAGTTTTTCAATTTCTTCACTGTTATATCCTTCCTGCTTCCTTTTGTCACTTTGATTTACCTGCTCTGTCAGAACTGCCTGATTGTGCAGTTTCGGTTGTCCTCCTCGACCCCATTCCCGGCTTGAGGTGGGTAGCTTCCCATTCAACTTCCAGCAACACTCCTTGGTGTACTTTGGTTTCTTGCAATAAGTGCACCACAGGTTGTCACAGTTGTCCTGATCCTTGTTGTCTCTCCCTGTGCGTCTTGACACGTCTGCTTTTGCACTCTCCGTTTTTCATGATTGTTCAACCTTACTCACGAAGGCTGATCCTTCTAGAGTTTGAGGCTCAAGCATAACACTGCTTCTGCTTTGCTCTCCCCGGATCGCGGAAATGTTTCCTTGAGTGAAGGTAACTCCTCTTTGCCGAGAATCTAAACTTTTACTTTATCAAATTCAGGGTTGAGTCCAGCAAGAAAACCATAAATCCAGTCTTTTTTAATGAACCTTTTTAAATTGCAGCATCATCGGCACATTTCATTTCAATGACCCGATAATTGTCAAGCTCCTACCACAAATTTTGCAGCAAGTTTGCATACTCTGTCACGGACTTGCTCCCTTGTTTGAGTGCACCCACCTTGACCTTAATCTAAAAAATCTGGCCTGTATCTTGAGCCTTAGAATAAGTCTGTCGAACTGCGTCCCAGATTGCCTTTGTCGAAGTCAGAATCATATAGATGTCGCTGATTTCAGGATCTGTAGAGTCCCACAGCCAGGACATGACCATCCCACGCATCAAAACGTGGGTCTTTTGGTTTTGGTCTAGTTCCAAGGAGATGACTCTATCTTCCTTTTCGCTTCAAATATGTCGGAACAAATTGGGACCACTTCAAATAATTTTTTTCATTCAACCTATATGAAGCCCTAACGTTCCTATTGATTGGTTTGAGTTGACTTTCTCGGATTGAACAGATTTTGTTGTGTTTTCCACAGTCGACATGATGCTTCAGGAAGCTATTTCCGATTGATGGAATAGAGCAAGAATTGGGTTGTTTTTGCAAATGAAGGCCAAAAGGGAACAAAATGGTGGCAATGAAGGCCAAAAAAAAAAAGCTGCAACGACAATGAAGGCCGGAATACGGACTGTGATGAATAAAATGTTGCGACGGCAATGAAGGCCGGAAAAGATGAACAAAACCCAAAAAAGAGCCTAAGGCTCTGATACCATATCGTGAAAAGTGATAAAGATGAGAGAAAATCTAATAATTCTCATTAACTGGAATTAATCATTTATAAGACAATACAAATCAATATAAAGAATTCTCTAGGACCGAAAAAAAGAAGCTATCTACGCCTATTAATCCCATGATTCCGGGGATGTCAAAATATCAAAATCTTTCCTAAAATACACACATTTACTTAGTCCTATCAAACAAAGATTATTGCTAGCTGTACAAATTATGCTAGCTGTACAATTCCACAGTAGACATGTTGGAACTGATGATGAGAAATTTCCTTTGGGATAATTTTGAGGAGGTAAGGTTAGGAGTTTGGTGGCTTGGGAGTGTGTCGAAGGCAGCATGGGGATTGGGAATTTAAAATGGAAGAACTTGGCTATGTTAGGTAAGTGGCTTTGGAGATTTCCATCAGAAACAAGACTCTTTGTGGGCAAAAGTCATAAGAAGTAAAAATACGGTATGAAACCAAATGGTTGGGATTCAAACCTAGTAGCTAGGGGATCTTTAGAAATTATGGAAATTTATTTCTTTGGGGTTGAATGTTTTCCTTCAAAATGCAAAACTTAGAGTTAGGGACGAGACAAATTCTTTTTTGGAGGGAGAAATGGTGTGAGAATGTATCCCTAGAATCCTTGTTCTCTTGTCTATTTAGAATTTCAAATCTTCCTAATGCTTTAATCTCACAGATTTGTTCACAATCCAATAACAGTGATCCAAATTCGAACCTTGGTTTTCGAAGAGGCCTCAATGATAGGGAGGTAGAGGATTTGCATTCTCTACTTCAGTTAATTAATTCTCTCTCTTTCCAGCCTTCTGTTCCTGATCATAGAGTGTGGTTGTGTGATCCTAATGATTTTTCGTGTCGATCTCTTATCTCCTCCTTAGTGGACAGATCTGATAATCACAATTTTGAACCCTATAAATTTATCTGGAAATCAAGTGTCCCCCATAGAATTAATGTTATCGCTTGGTTGGTGGCGTGGCTGGGATCAGAAAAGAAACCCTCATATGGCAGTTTCCCCTTCTTGGTGTGTCCTTTGCAGAGCCAGTGGGGAATCTATGGACAACTTACTGTTGCATTGCCCGGTGGCTAGTTCGGTTTGGCAGAAATTAATTTTGAAGTTGGTTTTTCTTGGGTTTTACCAGCTCATTGTAGCTCGGTCTTGACGGAAAGTTTGGCTGGTTTGAATCTGAATAGCATGTCTAAAGTTTTGTGGAAAGGTATGGTTCTCTCCGTTTTGTGGACTTTGTCGTCGGAGAGAAATGCAAGAATTTTTTAGGAAAAGGTGATGGATATTATTTATCTTTTTGAGAAAGCAAAGTTCACAGCTTCCTTATGGGCTGCATCTGCAAGGCTTTAAGGGTTTTCCCTTTTCTTTGGTGGTATTGAATTGGAAGGTGTAGTAGGCACTTTAAGTTTTTGGTATTTCTGGATTTTTTATCTTGTATTTGTCTCATCTGGGAGGATACCTTATCCTCTTTTTGTAATTGATGTATTTAATCAATAAAGTTTTTCTTATAAAAAAAGAATATAAATAGTTATCATCACTGTTTTTTTACTACCATTTAAGCATTTTCCTGGACATGTACCATTCAGGTTGTTCTTTTTTTTTTTTTTCACTTTTTTCAAACTTGGACTCTCTACAGTTCGCTCTTTTCATATTAACTAGCCAAGAGTACAACGTGACAGGGTACTGATTCTGGTGTTGACACGTATTTTGGTCTTTGCACGTATCCTGGAAGAGAGCTACGACACCGCATAGATTTTAAGGTACATGTTGACATCTCATACTCTGGACTTGTGTTATTTTGTTGCTCTATCAAGAAAATTTTCATTTGATTTAGTGTTCTCATAATAGGACAATTTCTACCTTTTTTCTTAAGGTGTACCCCCGTGACATATTTGCGTTTGGACTGATAGCATGGACTGGAAATGATGTACTAAACAGGAGGTATATCTTTTTTGACCACTTTCGTATCTGTTAAAAACAAAGATTAGGATCTTCAGTGGTTGTTTTTCATGGAAGCCATCTCTTAAGATTAGGAGAAAGAAGACACTACTTCTCAACATGAACATATTCTTGAGATACGATATGTAGATTTAGCTCAACCATACCAGTTGATCGATTTAACACAATAAAGCTAGTGCTAGTTAAAAGAATATTGATTAGGTGTCGATTAGTAATGGCGTAAAAATAAATCCTACCCATCATTCATTTCTCGACTTTCTTATCCGGCTCACAAGTCTATGGTCTATACCTGTAACTTCTTTTTGTCCCCGGGAAAGAAATTGAAAAAGTCTCCAGCCACAGAGTAGAAATTCTTCCAAGTTGACCTAATCCTGGTTTGCAGGTTGAGACTGCTGGCTGAATCAAAAGGATTTCGGCTCGATGATACGGGGTTGTATCCAGCTACGCACGGATCTCCTGGCAAACGGGTAACTACTTGGAACTTCCTCCTCCGAAATAGCGGCGATTGTTTTTCACGGTTCATTTAATGCCATATGTGGTTCAATGACAGGGAACAAAAGCTACCGCGAGTTTGAAATTTAACGAAGAGAAAGAGGTGTTTGATTTCCTTGGCTTCCCTTGGCTTGAGCCGCACGAAAGGAACTTATGATGATGAAATATGAATAGTTGTGTTGGCAGTGTTTGTACATAGCAGAAGCCCACTTGAGTTTTGTAAATGTGGAAAGCTCCTAACCCTGTTGTAGCGATAGAAATGAAAGAAGTTGGGAAGTTATTTTGTTGCTTCTGTCGTAGAACAACTACTAGAAAACTTCCGCTTGGGAGGATTTTATTTTATTTTTTTTGTAAAGAGTTTAGCCGTTTGGACAAATTTACTCGAGTATCTACGGATATTTCTTCGAATATATCTGCAAAATATTCACTGATATGACAGATGCACGCGTATAAAAAAGAGTAATCTTATTTGTCCGATGGGATTAAGAACAGAGTAAAGTTTATATTGCTGTCCGTACAAAGATTTTCAAAGTACAAAACCAATATAGTTTGTATGATATATTAGTGTATCTTCCACCACATATCAGTGTTGAAGTGTAATTACACATGACTAGTCATCAAATTCGATAAACTAACAATATCTGATTTATGGGTTGATAATGGGAAGAGATTAAGAAACATACATGTGATACATCAATAACTACATTCAGAATAATTTAAGAATAATATCTTGACAAATGTATTCTCTAGATCGAGATCAAAACTTACTTAACGCTTTTTAACATGTTAAAAACTCATTTTGGTATTAAAAACACTTTAAATATGTGTACTTAATTATGTTTGATAGTTAATTTCTATATAATATATTGAATTATTGTGTCTTATTTATAATGAGGATGTAAAATTGTATTTGAATCATAATTTATATATAATTATGATAATTTCATACTATACTATTCAGACATAGCTCTCATATTGAATTATTTTTATTATTAAAGTGGTTTAAATTAAATAATATTAATTGCTTTGACATTTTGTATAATTTTAATAAAAAAATTTTAAATTTTTTTAAGATATCTATTTTCTTTTATATAAATTATATTTGAATCATAATCTATATATAATTATGATAATTTCATACTATACTATTCAGATATAGCTCTCATATTGAATTATTTTTATTATTAAAGTGGTTTAAATTAAATAATATTAATTGCTTTGACATTTTGTATAATTTTAATAAAAAAATTTTAAATTTTTTTAAGATATCTATTTTTTTCTTAAAATATCTGTCGTCGACATTATCCACAGATAAAAACCTCAACAACCCCATAGACTCGACATTTTCCATCCATTGTTAGACCCAACTGGTAGTTGTCGTGGGTAAAAAGCCATCCGAGACAAGAAGAAAAAGGATCTCTCTCTCGCTCTCTCTCGCACTCTCAGTCTCAGAATCAGTAATTAGAAAACCCTAACACCTTCTCCAATTCCATCTCTCTCTCTCTCTCTCCCCGGCCATCAAGATCAAGGTGAGTCTCAGCTCTAATTAATTTCTCTCTTTTTTGTTTTGATCTTGATATTGAGCTCTGTACTTTGAATGTTTTCTTCATCACTTACGTTAATCTAATTTATTTTTCCTCTTGCTTGCTCTCTCGAATACCACCGTTGTTAGGGTTTGCAATTTCTTTTCTGTAATTCTCAATTTTTTCAATCAACAAAACTTCTGTCTTTTTGGTGTTGATGTAATCAAGTTCGTTTTTTCTTTCCCTACTGTCGTTAATTATATCTTAATGACGAAAGTGATAATTTAATTCGTTCTAATGTCCTATTCTGTGACTTGGGCATTAAATTTTTCCCCAGAATTTTTTGTTTCTCTTGAAAATACCGACTTTTTCTGAGAATTTGTACTAGTACTGATTTAAACTGTCTCAGGTGAACTAGAAAAATTCAAGCACAACACAACCATGGGTCAAGGCACCCCCGGCGGTCTCAACCGGAAAGGCTTGCCGGGCGATAGGAAGCCCGACGGCGGCGACAAAAAGGAGAAGAAGTTCGAGCCTGCAGCTCCACCTGCCCGAGTTGGCCGCAAGCAGCGCAAGCAAAAGGGCCCCGAAGCTGCGGCCCGGCTTCCTGTCGTGACCCCATTGACTAAGTGCAAGCTCAGGCTTCTGAAGCTTGAGCGGATCAAGGATTATCTTTTAATGGAGGAGGAGTTTGTGACTAACCAGGAGTGCCTAAAGCCCCAGGAGGAGAAGGCTGAGGAAGATAGATCCAAGGTTGATGATCTCCGAGGCTCCCCAATGAGCGTCGGTAATCTTGAGGAGCTCATTGATGAGAATCACGCCATTGTTTCATCGTCAGTTGGGCCGGAGTACTACGTTGGCATCTTGTCCTTCGTCGATAAGGACCAATTAGAGCCTGGATGTGCAATTTTGATGCACAATAAAGTAAGGCTCTCCCCCCATCACCCCCCCCCAATTTAAATTGAATTGAAAGTTAGTGTTTTGGTTTCTTGTGTTTCATAGATTATATTGGTGGAAACAGTGCTTGGGATTTTTGTTTCATGTTTGTTTGCTGGAGAAAATAGAGGAAGGAAGGATAATCGGAAATGATCTAAGTGGAGGACTTGCTATAACGAGAATTTGTAAAGTGGGTTTTATGGTTAAACCAAATTGGGAACCTAATTCTCTGTTTTTAACATTTCAAACCAATGTATACTAGGCGTGTGTGTAGGTATGTTTGACATCCTTTGATAAGCTATAATTATATGCTTCACTTCTGCTCCGCGGATATCAATTACTCTTCTATTTTGGAGTTCACGATTATTGCATAATCCATACACGATTTTTTACTGGCTCGTTAAGCCCTCAAGTATTTGCTATTGCTTCTTCTTCTATTTTTATTTTTTATTTTTTATTTTTTTTTTGTGTGTTCCGGGATTGTGTCCCCCTTGGATTTCCTTATAATTTTAGTTTTGAGCGCTGTTTGAAATGGGCTACCTTCCTTTGGCCGAAAAGTTTTCAGTTATGACATGGTGTGCTTGCCAGCGCTGTTTGAAATGGGCTACCTTCCTTTGGCCGAAAATTTTCAGTTATGGACATGGTGTGCTTGCCATTGATCTAGTTTCCTGGGCTTAAGTCTCTTATAATATTGTGATCTCTTGTAGGTTCTTTCCGTTGTTGGGCTGCTTCAAGATGAAGTTGATCCTATGGTGTCTGTGATGAAAGTTGAGAAAGCTCCACTGGAATCTTATGCCGACATAGGTGGATTAGATGCCCAGATACAGGAGATAAAAGAAGCTGTTGAGCTTCCTCTCACTCATCCTGAATTATATGAAGACATTGGTATCAAGCCCCCGAAGGGTGTCATACTGTACGGAGAGCCAGGGACTGGCAAGACTTTGCTAGCAAAGGTTTCGATATATATATTTATTTTCTCTTTGTTTTCCTCCTTACTGAGATATTGCATCTTATTATGTCTTTGTGCGTTGCACTTAATACACATATAGTTTTTGCTTATAATTTGCTTGACTTGTGTTCTCTCAGGCAGTTGCAAACTCAACCTCGGCAACTTTCCTGCGCGTTGTTGGTAGTGAATTGATTCAGAAGTACTTGGGAGATGGCCCAAAATTAGTTAGAGAGCTCTTTAGAGTTGCTGATGATCTCTCTCCTTCGATTGTCTTCATTGATGAAATCGATGCTGTGGGAACAAAGAGGTGAGCAATGAATTTTCTAATGGCTTGATTTTAGATTGCTGTGTTTGAAGCATTTAGGATCACTAGTTTTGTAACGTGCTCCGCACGTATTGCCGTGTTGGAGACAGTTGAAGAGTTTATTGTTTACCAAATAATGAGAACTTCATTTATACAATCATTTAACGATTTTTGAATTTATTTTGAAAAGGCAGTGTAAAGATAACAATTGATAAAAAAATTAAGTAGGGATACATTTGAAAAAAATTATTTTAACCAACCAAAAATAAAATAGGATAACATATGGAAAAATTACTCTCATATGAGTAAAGTGACGAATAATATATTTTTAAAATGCACACAGAGAAGTTAAAATGAAAAAAAAAAAAAATCACAAAAGAATAAAGATAAAAAAAAAAGAAAAAAAAAGTAGCGGGGGCAGCCCCATAGAAAAGTGTTTTGGCTCTTTTATGTATTGTTAGATTAAATTAGATAATAAAGATAAAAATGTAAAGAAAGGAAAAAAAAGAGAAAAGAAAAGAAAAAAGAAGCAGTAGGATAAGCTGCCACGTGGCAGCATAAGGGGGAGAAGAGCTTTTGGCTCTTTTATGTATTGTTCGATTACATATTATCTTTATTTACTTTTGCAGATACGATGCGCATTCTGGTGGTGAAAGAGAAATTCAACGAACCATGTTGGAGCTTCTTAACCAATTGGACGGTTTCGATTCAAAAGGAGACGTTAAAGTAATTCTTGCAACAAACAGAATCGAAAGTCTTGATCCAGCTTTGCTTCGGCCTGGTCGAATTGATAGGAAAATTGAATTCCCTCTTCCTGATATCAAAACTAGGAGAAGAATTTTCCAGGTACCCTTGAAGATTAACTTGATCATATGAAAGTTAGAAATAATCCCCTCATTCTTACCTCAAATTTTAAGTGATCAAGATTTCATTGTCTTGTAGATACATACATCAAGGATGACATTGGCTGATGATGTCAACTTAGAAGAATTTGTCATGACTAAGGATGAGTTTTCTGGAGCCGATATAAAAGCAATATGCACTGAAGCTGGCTTGCTTGCTTTAAGGGAACGCCGTATGAAGGTGAGAGCTACACTCTACTTAAAAAGATTATCGCAACCAGAGTCACAGTTGTAGATTCTTCAACTTGCAAAGCGGTTTTGTCATTATTAATAATTTTTGTTGAAAAAGGGAAAAGTAAAAGAATGAAATGCAGAGAAATTGATGAGAATTAACTCTATGTTGTTAATGCAACATTACAATTTTTTTTTTTGTTTAATAGAGCAGATCGGAAACGAGAAATTCATATAGCTGACCCCAATTAATTTGGGATTAAGACTTGTATTTGTTATTGTTGTTGAAAAAAAACTTGGTGGTGACTGTTTGATATCTGCGCTTCAGGTGACACACGTAGACGTCAAGAAGGCGAAGGAGAAGGTGATGTTCAAGAAGAAAGAAGGGGTACCAGAAGGACTTTATATGTGAAATGATTTTAAGTGTGGTATTTCATTCTTCTAAATAACTTCATTTCACATTGGCACAAAACCGAAACACGAGACTGAAAATGAGATTTAGTTGCGCCTGGTGAAGTAATGCTTAATGAGGTGCCCCAGTGTTTAGCTTGAATGGAAACAACTGAAGGAATGATAATATGTAATATTTTCTTATTTACAATAAATAGTTGAATGAGAATGCTGTAATGTAGTCAAAGTTCTTGTAAAAGCCTTTTGAAATTTTGCCAAGATTCAAGGACAAGTAGATATTATTGTAGTTGCAGGCATAATTCTAGTGATAATTCGAAGCTTTCTATAATAAAGTGTAGAGTTCAAATCTTCTTATTCCAAGTTTAAAAAGTAGCATGATATCTTTAGGTCAAATAAACAAACCAATGGACATTTTCTTGGTTCCCTAATGTATTGTTAATATTGTAAAATATAACATGTCGGATAGTGTAAAGAATTATGCGTACAATGTTTATCGAGAGGATGAGAGTACAAAAGTTGTACTTCAACCTTACCAATCCAATGGTTGAAACTTGCTCATATTTCACTTAACTTAAATCTAATGGTTTGAATTTAGTCCATTTGGCTTGCTTATCTTCTCACACCTCACACTCTTACAGCACCCCTCCTTTTCTAATTTTATCTTCATAAATAATTATATATAGAGAGTGGATCATGCATTTGTTTCTTCAATTATTTTTGTGATTATATATAATATAACTTTGTTGATTTTTGTTGACAATATTTCCAATTTTATAACTTTTTAAAGAGTTTACATAATCATTATAAAGAATATGATTTTATTTTTTAATTTGAAAACAGTCATGGGTCAGGGTTTTTTTTTTTTTTAGAAATATGAATTGTGGAAACTATATATTTCCAAGTTTCTCTTTACGTATGTTCGCACGACTTAATTATTATCATCATTTGTTATAAATGATGGTTTTTTTTCTGTTTTTTTAAGAGTAATTTCGTAGGGTTTTTTTTTTTTTTTTTTGTTAGTGAGTAATCAGGTAGATAGCTGATAGTTATCACTTTTTTACTTTTTGTTTGCATTCTTTTTTCTTTTAAAATTTTTAATTAAGTTGTATAGCCTTTTTCCATCTACGTATAATGCAACACTAGTAGTCTAAGACCTTTTGATCAAATAACTTGTGTACTTTTTTTTTTGAGAAGGAACTATCGCTGCTACTATCATTAATTAGTTTGATTGAATAATCTAGGATCCCTTTTGGTGATTCTTTGCATATGGTTGGTATATTGACCTTCAAAAGATTGCAATATGTTCTGAGTCTCAACATATATATATCAATAACAACGTGTTCTTTACCTAGTCACTTGACTTCTTGATCTGAATATATATGTCTCTCTGTGTGTGTGTGTAGGGAATTAAGGAATTGGCTTTTTGACAAAATTGTTGATGATGTAATCGAGAAACTCAAAGATATTTCTATGGTAAGGGAAGATTATTTGCAGGGCCTGGTTGGAGTTACTAAACACATTGAGGAAATTGAATCACTGTTGCATATTGGCTCATTAGACGTTCGTGCTGTTGGCATTTGGGGCCCAGGTGGCATTGGTAAAACAACCCTTGCTCATGCTGCGTTTTGTCGACTATCTTCTCAGTTTAAAGCTTGCAGTTTTCTTAAAAATATTCGAGAGGAATCAAAGATAATACGTGTATTTTCTTATTTACGATAAATAGTTGAATGAGAATGTCCTAATGTAGTCAAAGTTCTTGTAAAAGCCCTTTGAAATTTTTCCAAGATTCAAGGACAAGTAGATATTATTGTAGTGATAATTCTAAGCTTTCTATAATAAAGTGTAGAGTTCAAATCTTCTTATTCCAAGTTGAAAAAGTAGCATGATATCTTTAGGTCAAACAAACAAACCAATGGACATTTTCTTGGTTCCCTAATGTATTGTTTAACGTTGTAACATATAACATGTCGGATAGTGCAAGGAATTATGCGTACAATGTTTATCTCTATCTATAAGAAGAGAGGATGAGAGTATAAAAGTTGTACTTCAACCTTACCAAACCAATAGTTGAAACTTACTCATTTTTCACTTAACTTAAATCTAATGGTTTGAATTTAGTCCATTTGGCTTGTTTATCTTCTCACACCTCACACTCTTACACCACACCTCCTTTTCTAATTTTATATATAAAGAGTAGATCATGCATTTGTTTCTTCAACCATTTTTGTGATTATATATAATATAACTTTGTTGATTTTTGTTAACCATATTTCCAATTTTATAACTTTCTAAAGAGTTTACATCTTCATTATAAAGAATGTGATTTTATTTTTTTAATTTAAAAACAGTCATGAGTCTTTTTTTTTTTTTTTTGTTTCTTTCTGGAGCCATTGGTTAGTTATATTTATTTATGTTTGTATTTCTATACTTGAAGAGGTAAATCCATACAAGTTCACCTTCAACTTAAATTATAAATATTTGTTTATATCACTAGTCATATGAAAGAACTCGGGCGATATATGCTTCTATCAAAAAAAAAAAAAAAAGCTATGGCTACATGTGTGAGATATGGTATCTCTCTTATATTAAAGAAAAAAGGCGTTTAATAATACATAAAAAAGTCAATTTTTGGCAGTTCTTCCACTTATTTTTTTTTCTTTTTTTTTTCTTTTTCATTCATTTTTACTTTTTCTTTTTTTTTTTTGCGAATTTTATTTACATTTTAATTTTTTGTGTTTTTTAAAATATAGTGTTCCTCACTTTATTATTGTGAGAGTAACTTTTTCACGTGGTGTTCTTATTTTATTTTTAGTTGGTTAAAATAATTTTCTCTAAATGTGTTGCTACTTAAGTTTTTTTGTCAACTGTTATCTTTACACATTTTTTTTAAAAAGAAATTCAAAAATTCTTAAATGGTTGTATAAATGAATTTCTCATTTTTTGATAAATAATAAACTCTTCAAATATTTAATACAGTACTAGCACGTTACAAAACTAGTAACTCAAAAAAGTAAGACGAAATCCATTGATACAGGGAAAGGAAACATTTTATATGAAAGTTTAAATAGTAAAGATGAAAATAATCACTTTTTTTTTTATTATAATGTCTTCTCTCATAAATTATTTTAATACTATTTATTATTTAAAAATATTTTGTTGGTACGTGTTTTTAATAATATTAAAGTATTATTTACAAGTTTAAAATTCATTTTAAAAATATGAATGGTGCAAAACCCTTTTTTTATTAATTAAATAGAAATTAATCACTTTAAAAATATTTTATGAAAGTTTGGGCAGTTCTATGGCAGGGGTGGTACTTTTTCCTAGACCCAATTTAAAATAAATGGTAAAAAAAAGTGAAAGACCATTGAGCTAAAACAGAGCCTCCCGCATATAATAATAAACATCAAATTACAAATTGTAAAAAGAAGCTCGTATTGAAAACTGGTTTGGTCAGAAGCTTGTCAAGTTTCAGATCTGGGCTGGAGGAGAGGAAAGCTTGACGTGTGTTCGCATGACAATTATTATCGTCATTTCTTATAAATTAAATTGTTTTTTTCTTCTTTTTTTTCAAGAGTAATTTCGTTGTTTTTTTTTTTTTTCCTTTGTGGTTACTAAGTAATCAGGTAGTTAGCTGATAGTTATCACTTTTTTGATTTTTTCTTGACCCGTTCATTTCGCCGATTTAAGTTTAGAATTCGAGTTTTGTTACAGTAAAAAATTCTTAGAAACAATCACATCTAACTTTGCTACAGTAAAAAGCTCTCACATAATGTTAAACCTCAACTCGAATTAAAAACTCAAATCAGCAAACTAAACAAACTTATCACTTTAAATTTTGGAAAGGAACTGTCGCTGTGACTATTATTAGTTTGATTAAGGGCGTGTTTCGTAGATGGATCTCAAATCATGATTCTTGATCATCATTCAGAATCAGTGTTTATTTACAGTGATTTTGAACTAGGATTCTGAATCAGTGTTTGGTTTGGATGATTCAGAATCATGATTCAGAATCTGATGTGATGTTTTAAACTAGCTCAAATCACGATTCTAAAACCACTCCCTCTCTTGATTCAAGGTGATTCAAACCTCTGATTCTAAATCATGGTTTTAAAATCATGATTTGAACCAAAAATCATGAATCATGGTTCTGATTACAGAATTATTTTAGTACTATTTATTATTTTAAAATATTTTGCTACAGTAGCTCTCAGAAACAGTTACATCTAACTTTTTTGTTACAATAAAAAATTCTCACATAAAATCACATATCAACTCGAATTAAAAATTTGAATCAGCGAACTAAACGGACCCTTACTTTTTCCATCTCCATATAATTAAGTTATCACTTTAAATTTTTACGTATAATGCAACACTAGTACTCTAGGACCATTTGATCAAATAACTTGTGTACTTTTTTTTTTTTTTGGAAAAGAACTATCGCTGTTACTATTATTAATTTGATTGAGAGTCTGTTTGGTATATGAATCCAGAATTATTATTCAAAATCAGTATTTAGTTTGAATGATTCTGAATCATGATTCAGAATCTGATGTGATGTTTTAAACTAGCTCAAATCATGATTCTAAAACCACTCTCTCTTTTGATTCAAGTTGAATTAAAACCCTGATTCTGAATCATGGTTTCAGAATCATGATTTAAACCTAAAATCATAAATCATGATTCTAGTTACAGAATCATGATTAAAATTACTCTAGTTTAAATAATCGTACCAAACGAACCGATTCTAAGATTCCTTTTGGTGATTCTTTATAAATGGTTGGCATTGAAGATTGCAATATGCTCTAGTCTCAACATATATATATATATATATTAATAACCACGTGTTACTTATTAGAAAATATCTTTAGATGTAAAATGTCTCTCAAAATTCAGGAAACATTCATGTTAAATCACCAAGAATGAATAAATTAATAAGCGGAAGCGTACTTGAATTCATAATAATAAATTACTCTCCAAAACTGTGCGATTTGTCTTCCATATCAACACGTTTTTCTAAAAAATCTTTTAACTTTCTTTCTGCTCTCTCACTGATGATGAGATGTCAGAAAAGTATAGAATGTCATGTGTGATTTGGGAACTATAATCACTATATATAGATAAATTTCATGTTATATTTTGGTATTTCTATTTTAACCCATCATAAAAATAAAAATTACGCTTACTCTACACATTAAAGGTCAACACCCTATTAGATATATTAAAGCCTAAATTCCCCAAACCTTAATAGACTACTTTTAAATGGACTTAACTTTATATGACAGTCTGGAACATATAATTATTCACATATAAACCTAATGTTAAATTAAGGATCCAACATTCCTTACTTAGTCACTTGACTTCTTAATCTGAATATATATATATATATATAATGTGTGTGTGCGCGCGCGCGCGCGCAGAATTAAGGAATTGGCTTTTTGATCATTTTGGAGGTATGGCTACGATTATGGCTGGTGGTGGTGATTCCTCTTTGAAGATTAAGTATGACGTGTTTATCAGTTTGAGGTGAGGATGCTCGTTCTAATTTTACGAGCCATTTTCATAATGCTTTATGTTGAGTGAAAATCAAAGCCTTTGTAGATGAGGATGATCTTAAGAAGGAGAGTGAAATATCACTGACGCTTTTGAGAGCAATTGAAGAGTCAAAATTTTGTCTAAATGCTTCGTCAAGATGGTGCTTAGATGAACTAGCACACATTCTCCAATGCAAGAAAATGGATGGATAATCCCAAGTTCTACCTATTTGTTACAATATTGATCTGTCAAATGTACGAAAGATAACAGAGAAGTTATACAATTGCATTTGCTAAACTTGAGGATGAGAAATTGCAAGCAAAGAGAGAGGCTTTGAGAAAAATAACCGATCTATCTAGTTGGGCTTCAAATTCGTTTAGGTAATCTTAATTTGTACCTTTTAACTTCTAAAAAGTTATGAATTACTATAAATATATTCAATAATCGGTTTCTTGATTTCTAATTACTATATATTTAGATGTGTACACATTTTCAGGTCTGAATCCACTGTAGTTGACATAATTGTTGATGTTGTAATCAAGAAATTCAAAGATATTTTTATGGCAAGGGATCCTTTTTGCAGGGCCTGGTTGGAGTTACTAAACGCATTAAAGAAATTGAATCACTTTTATATATTGGCTCATTAGACGTTCGTACTATTGGCATTTGGGGCCTAGTTGGCCATTTTTTATTGGGCCTTTTTGAAGTGAAAGGGGCAATTGCTGAGAAAAAAAGAATTGGAACTAAATTGTCAAAATTTAAAAAGTTGAGGGGGTGTTTATACAAAAAAAAAATAATAAGTCATCTATTTTATATATTCAAATTATATTTTGAGTCTTCAACTTTTAAAAAATATTATTTTGACCCCCTCATTTTTTGTTCTCAAAACAATTGTCAAACACTGCAAGTTCTTCGGGAATAAGTTGAAATAATTTGGTAGATTACCTGTTTTAATCTAGTAGATAATATATAACTATTTTTTTGTGACGTGAGACTGTACAATTTATCTTGTCTTTTTCCTTTTATCTTAACAGATTGATGACTATTACAAAAATATCATTGACACAAGGGAAAGGAAATTAAATTTCTTATACAAGGAACGTGACAAGAAATTCCCAAAAGGATGAAAAGAAAATTAAAAAATGACGTACTTCCACACAATAATAAAATAAGTACATAATGTTGACTGTAACAACGTGATGACCACGTCTTCAATAATTTGCCAGTATAATATGACTTGATTCTTCATGCCAGATATGTCTTTAAGTACTAGTATTATTTTTTTTTTCCCCTACCACGAAAGAACATTAGTTTTATTGGCTATTTTATTTTTCATTTCCTGCTATTTTTTTTTCCCCTTCCACGAAAGAACATTAGTTTTATTGGCTATTTTATTTTTCATTTCCTGCTACCTACCGGGAAATTTCTTAGAAGCTTAAAATAAGAACGCAAGAGTAATTAAATTAAGATCATGTTGACCAAGTGCTTAGTCTTCTAATTAGCATTAACCTTCGAAATAAATAGACAGAACGTTTATTTGTGAGTATCTTATTAATCAAATGATTTCATTTTTTCCTTCCAGTTGCGGCCGGTGATCAGATCCACAGCTTTAGACATACCCGCTCATGAGGCCACCCTCTAATTTGCAGGTTGATCTTGAGGTATGATCGCATGACTTAATTATTATTTCTCTTAAGAATAACCTCTTTTTTTCAAGAGCAATTAGGTAGATGACTAATAGTAATCACTTCTTAACTCTTTGTTTCTTTAATTAATCATCAACTTTTTTTTCCCCTACAAAAGAGAGATGCCCAGTTTCCTTTAAATAAAAACAAAAAAACAAAAAAAAAAACAGAGACAATGTTGAAAGTTCTGGTCCTCTCTTTTCTTAAGAAGAAACGATTTGTTTTAGTGTCTGTAATATTTATAATTTAGTAGTTTATTTAATTGAGCGCGTGACCTCGTGGATATGTGTAAACTAAACCATATCAAAATTGTATGTACCATTTTTTAATTTACACTTTTAGTAATTTAATTAACTGGATGTTAATTAAATTTAGTAAAATTAGAAAATTTTAACAATTATCATGTTTTCTTAAACAGAAAGGATGCTTGGTTTCTTAAGAATAATAATAATTTTTTTTAAAAAAAGATTGCAATATCTCCTCGTGAGGGTCATCATATATATATTGTAACGCCCCATATGCTAAACCGGTCTAAGGCCGAATTTAGCAAGGTGGTGCTACTTAAAACATACTTTCTATACTTAAAACAATATCATTTTTAAGATGCAGAAACTTGTGGTTGATTTCATCACAAAATTTTCTTAAAAGTTTTTGAACAAAATGAGTAAGTGTGCAACCACAAATCTTAAACATTAAATAGTTATTCAAAAGCGACATAGTAACAAAACAAAAACATTTTGAGCCCATCTATTGTTTGGAAGTACATATAAGCAAGATGCCAGATGTAAGACTTGGAGTACTCAGCCAACCTTGGAAATCATATTTCTTTTTACTCTTCGGTAATAACAACATCATCTGCATCACAAGGTAAAACTAATGAGCAAAAACTCAGTAAGTAGATTTCAAATCAAGTAAGTATCTAAAATCTCTGTGACTAAAATCTCTTTGTTAATTATTGTTCATAAACTTTCATACTTATTCTTAGTTTAGGTATGATACAGAACTTCGGTTCCATGTAAGCCTCTCTATACAGGACTTTCTCTAATTTTGGCCAATTCTCTTCTCTTAAACACTAAGCGGGGTTTTTAGAATCTCTTTCTCTTGTGATCAACAAGAGACTTCCCACTAACATTTTTCTCTAGTTGTCTCAAAGATACAGTTTCTCTAATTTGGGGTACCGGTCCCTCGCACCCATGCTTACCCAGCCTCTCATTCATATACCATACCATAAAATCTCTTAAAACATAACACATAATAAGCATAAATCATAATCTCTTTCAAAATAATTAATCATGAATACTCTTTGAACACAATCATATAGGGTCTTGTGATGCAGTTTTGAAATGCTTTTAACTTTACTTACCTGAATTTTGATCACCACTTTGCAAGCACAAACTAGCTGATTGTGGGGAGCCTTCAATGTGCTAATTAACCTTTAAAAACCATAGCTTTCAAAAATCACATTCATATCATCATTTAACAAACACATAACTGCGCAATATTACGAAAATATTCATAACGAATTCATCAAAACTCAAAATATTATGAGACCAGTGGCAAATAAAAGTAGGCTAAAAACCCTATTTTTAGAACAACTACATGATGGGTTTCGGATTTTTCAAACTAACCAAAAATAGCCCGAAATCGAGATTTAAGTATAATCTCGTCAAGAAAATGAAAGCTTTTTAACTGAACTTATAAAATTCATAACTAAATGTAGAAAAATCCATTTGGAGTGATTCAAAAACTCACGTAAAGCTTGAGATGTATACTTTATATAATAAAAAAATATAAGATCTGTCAAAATCATAAGTACATATAGCACGGAAACAGAATCTACATAGGCTGTACAGAGGACTTATATTTGAACATTTTATCAAATACCTAGCATGCATATCCTAATCTTCAAAGACCACTCTCAAATACATGAATCATCATCTTAATAAGAGTTTATTTTCAAGTAATCATCAATAATATCAAGCTAAAATTATCAATTTCACCCAGAAACCAATATTTGAACCAAAACATCAAGAAACTCATTGTTAAGAGTTTACAACCAACATGCATAATAAGCCCCGAACATTTTATCAAATACCTAGCATGCATATCCTAATCTTCAAAGACCACTCTCAAATACATGAATCATCATCTTAATAAGAGTTTATTTTCAAGTAATCATCAATAATATCAAGCTAAAATTATCAATTTCACCCAGAAACCAATATTTGAACCAAAACATCAAGAAACTCATTGTTAAGAGTTTACAACCAACATGCATAATAAGCCCCTTCAAAAATCCGAATCTCAAGTAAGATTTCAACATCTTAATCTCTGAAATCTTAGTTTCTAACATAAGAAAGAAGTTACCTCAAAGAAAAATGTGTTCCCAAGTGAATAGAAGCTCCAAATCTTTGCTAGAAACAAAAGTAGAGTGACCTTATAGGAGGACAAGTGTCTAGGTTTTTCTATGTCTATAACATTTGTCCTAACCTCATAAATCAGCTCTAAAGTCTTTATTTTTCTTCTTCATTTAGGTGCCTAAAGTTCACTCAATTTGCTAAAATAGCATTCTCTCACAAAACTCAAAATAGCAACTAAGTCCTTAACACATTTACATAAAACCATATAATAAAATATAAAATAATAATTCATCATTAAATCAATCATAATAGAGGTAAAATTTCATAGCAAATAATCATAATAAATATAATTCATTTTCTTCATAAGTTTAGCACATTGAGTTCCCACATCGAGCTAGTTGTACTGCACATTAAAACTGAAAACTCGATTAGTGAAGCTATAAGTTTAATAAAATCATATGATAGCTATCATAATAACATATAATGCCAACAAATAACTTTAAGGTAAATGGCAAATGTGATGCATGATTTTAATTTATTAAATTTATTTATTATTGGCTTAAGGCTTAATTAAATCTCGGGTATTACAGTACTACTAGGTTTTTTCATATTTGCAGTCTCTAACAGAGCAGTCGACATCTTATCCATAGTCAATGTTGTCTTTCCAACTAAAAGTGTAGTCACTAAAGTCTCATATGATTTGGGTAGGGAGGCTGACAAAATTTCCGCTTTATCTTTCTCATCAATTTTGACCTCTACACTTAACAATTAAGTCATACACTTATTAAAATTATTTATATGATCCCTAACATCACTTTCCTCATCTATCTTTAACTCTTACAATTGCTTCTTCAAATATAATCTATTTGTTAGGGATTTTGACATATAAACTTTTTTTAATTTTTTTCACAACTCAGAAGGAGATGCCTAATTCATAATACTATATTTCAGTTCAGGATGCAAACTTAAATGAATAGTGCTTACCGTTTTCACTTCTAATTCTTCCCAATCTTCATCTTTCATATTTTTTGGCTTATTTCCTTGCAACGCTTTTAGTAATCCCTGCTGAATCAAAACATCTTTGACTGTACTCTTTCATATATTGAAATTACTATTTCCATCAAACCGCTCAATCTACTCAAATTTTATCCCAGACATTATCTTGACCTCTTTTTTTTTTTAATCTTTACCACTGCTCTGATATCAGTTGTTGGGAGATACCACATGCGAAACTGGCCTTACATAGTTCAGGAGCCCAACTTAATCCAAAAGGTTAACTTATTAGGTCTTGTGTGCTTTCGTGTATATAAACCACTTCACATTCTTATCCACTTTCATGTGGGACTACACATGCTCATTTCTCAACAATCTCCCCCTCATGTGTGTGTTCACTGAGCTCCTCCTCGAACCAAAGTTTTTAGTAGCCGGCACACTCAGACATTACACTCTAAACGGGGGCCAACTCGAGCATGGGAAAGAGAGCCGAAACCATGCCAGTCCATTAATGCTCAACCATCCGCACCCGCAATAACACCAACTGCGGGAACACTAACTCTCCACAGGAGGCAACGTGAGAACTGCAACTGAGTGTGATCATTTAGGCCATATAACCCATCAGTTCTGATACCAGTTGTTGGGGAAAAACACAATATTACACTCACGCAACAGAAAAATAAACTGAAACCAAAATAATAGAAAAAATAGAGAAGACAAAGATTTATGTGGTTCGGAAAAATTTCATACGTGCACGGAAGAGGGAGAAAAATTCACTAACAGTTTCAAAGTTACACACTTAACAAACTTTCTTACTTTCTCTCTCTACCCAAAACCCCTTACACACTTGCCATCTCTCTCATCACTTTTCTCTTTCTCTCTCTCAAAAGGAGGCCTTCTGTCTATATACTTTTCTTTGAGCACACATAAAGTCTTACATAAAACACTTATTTATAAACTCTTAATAATCCTTGCCTAAAAATAGAAAATAGTGATTTACCCAAAAAATATAAAATTGTTACTTTCCTAAAACTAATTTCAGTTAAAGATGATAGTGTTTAATTATGGGGTAGATTTTTTTTAAACAATGTTTTAAAATTGTTCTTTTTTTGTTTGCCTTATAGAGAAGGAGAAAGAATTAATTTTTTTAAAAAAAAAGGTGAATGTATGATATGACTATGGTATATTTGTCTTTTTGATATCCTTGGTAGAGTTTTCACCTTCTTTTCTTTTATTGCTGGACAATAATGCTGCGGTTGCATTTACAAGATTTATATATGTTAGTAGATATAGCAATACACGACAAACGTTTTTTTTTTTTTAGTAGACATGACAAACGTTTTGGAAATGATAATAAATATAATATTAATTAATACATGCAATTGTTTTGATTGGTTAGGTTGTTATGCATTAAGACTCAAGTTATATATTTTATTTAATGATAATATTGAATTAGGACATTAATTTTATGTGGATGATATGAATTCTGAATTAATGATTTGACTATATATGATTGAGAAGATATTATGTCATGGGAATTTGTTTTTGAAGACTATTTTGAAATTCCATCCAAGATTAGGCCATTGGAGTATTACATTTAATCAAGTGAACGTTTTAAAATCA